CACTTATAGGACGTGGATCACCGATGTCGGTATTGAACGATCCGCGCACCCCCTTGAGCGGCTCGTCCGGCTTTACAAGGCCGACATTTCCGCCTTCAAGATCAGTGGCTTGAGAAAGGTCTATCCTCGTCCGCTCTTGATCAAACGCGCAGACGCCTACCAGCTTCAACGAGTCAAGTACAATTCTGCGTATCGCAAGAAGAGCGAGCTCGACAAACGTCTGCTTCTCGACCTGGCCGAGTCATGTACCTCTTCCTACGCGGACGTGCGCCGAGTTGCGCAGGGTGCTCAGGACTCCTCTCTCAAGGTCCTCATTGGCGGACGACCTCTGGTCATTCCGGTAATCATGGAGAGACTCCGCAAAGCATTGGACGAGAACGACCACGACCGGATCAAGGGTGCCATGTACACCTTGTTGTTTACGACACTTCTGAAGACTTTGATGCGTGACTGGCGATTCGCGCCGGATCTTATGAGGATGTACATCGAGTCTGCCAGCGTCGACAAAGCATCAATCCAGAGTCTCGGCTCAACCGCTCTGTATCCGTTACTCGACTTCGGCAAACCGTTTGAGCGCATGATCATTTACGACCATGATATTGTCAACACCATCCGGCCGGATGAAGACTGTTCTGCATTCATCAAACGGCGACACGACTTCATCGTAGGCCGTCGCTCCAAGGTGGAAGCTAAAAAGGCCGCGTTGGGCTTGGAGCTCACTGAAAAGGCCAAAACATCCCACTGGAAGGTTGCCAATCGGTGCGCAATCTTTGCCCTCAACCTCACTCTCCGCTTCCACACGCTTGTCACCCCCGAGTTCATCGACCTCGTTGCCAACGGCACCAACGACCCACACCCTGGCCTGCGGTCCAACTACCTTGCTGCATTCTCAGCCATCTTCACAGCCATTGACATGCGCGCAATTTACGGCCACAGCTTCCGAAAGTGGCTCACCGAAGACGACAGTCTCGACGAGAACAAGATGCAGATTTCGGTGCCTACCGATGATCCTCATCTTACGGAAAAGTTCTTGGCCCAGTTTGAGAAATATGATGGGGTCGAGTACTTTGTGGACTGTGATCATCCCGGTTGGCTTGTGTGGGGCAAGAGCTTCAAGGTCTCTAGAGCTGATCCCAAACCATTCTTGGCGTACGACGAGGTCGAAAACAACGTCCGCGAGCATATCGGCAAGATCATCACCAAGGACTGGTTCAAGAAGTGCTTTGACTATCTGAAGCAAGAACCAAGGGATGCTGGCTCCGACCGTTTCCGTATGCAGAACCTTGTACTGCTGATGAACCTGTTCGATCTGATGCACTACGGCAAAACAGTTGCCACCTTTGACGACATCATCGAGTTGGTAAAGGATGTTTACGGTGACGGCAGCGATAAACATCAACACCGTGCCACGGCCGAGATCCTTGGATCTTTGCTGTCTGGTAGCTCCGCAGAGCCACGAGAGTTCCGGGACCGTGTCTGGAACTTCGCCGCACCACTGATGTTGAAGATCATCGCCGATGACTTGACCCCAGATAATCTTCAGTACTGGATGACTTGTCTTCACATCATCATCGATGGCAAAGACCCAAGACGATCTCGGGAATTGACCGAAGCGCTGTCTTCTTTCCGCCTTGACATGAACTCTAATGCAGCATTCAAGGAGTCATCGAAGGTTCAGCTGGTCGAGTTTATCATTAATGACGCAGGGTGGCATTTCCGACACGAAAAGCCAATCCTGGAAGACTTCCTCAAGCATCTTGATCACCCTTACAAGTCCGTTCGGGAATCGATCGGCCGAGTCATCGCAACCATCTATCGCACTCGGTACCACGAGTCTTTCAGAAATGTTCCAGAGCTCCTTGAGAAGAACAAGGCTACTTCCTCTATCGGCATCCGTGCCTACGCACCGTCTGAGGAGTTCTCAAAGACCATCAGGGACGTGTTTGACCGGATTGAGAAGTGGAGACATGAAAGAACACCCGGACAACAAACTCCGTCGAGCTATACGTCAGGGTCAAAGACGGTTCTCATCTGGCTGGATAGCATGCTCTCTTCACAAGAATGCATTCAGCTGGTGCCGTTCTTCCCTGATCCTTTCATTGACCAGCTGCTCCACATGATGGACGTCAAGGAGGATCCAGAACTGATGAAGTTTGCTTACCACGTTTACCGTCACCTGCCCAACATCCCATTCCGGTCAGGTGAGGACGATGCCTTCATTGCGGCACTGATCCGTGTCGGCAAGACTGCGGCATCATGGCACCAGCGTCTCCGTGCCCTCGTCAACATGCAGGTGGTTTACTTCCGTCGGCTGTTCCTCACTCAGCCCAAACAGCGACAGATGCTCTTCGATGCGGTCGGCGATATGCTATCTGATCCTCAGCTTGAGGTCCGGGACTGCGCGAGCGCCACGCTTGCGGGCATGATCCGTTGCTCGCCAGCCAGCATCCGAAACCCGATCATCATCCAGCTGAAGGAAAGATTTGAGTTGCAGCTCCAACTCAACCCCATGCCTAGGAGGAAGTTGCATGTTGCTGGCACAGAAACTCCAATTGACATTCAGAAGCAAATTGTTCGGAGGCACGCTGCTGTGCTGGGTCTGGGCGCGCTTATCGAGGCGTTTCCTTATGCTACGCCGCCGCCGAAGTGGATGCCGGAGGTTCTTGCACATCTGGCCTCACGGGCGGCTAGCGACCCTGGTGTGGTTGGGAAGGCTACGAAGTCGATATTGGCCGAGTTCAAGAAGACAAGACAGGATAGTTGGAGTGTAGATTCCAAGGTAAGTCGTCTTGTGTCGCACGAACTCGTAACTAAATGCTGACTTGTTTGATTTTGCAGTACTTTACACCGGAGCAGTTAGAGGATTTGGAGGGCGTATTGTGGAAAAGTTACTTTGCATAGACTATGCTACTAGATAGGATTGGTTGTGTTGCTTGTGGCGTAAAGTAGTCAGCGATAAGCGTAATAACTATGTTACCATCGCCATCTTGTAGGGTGTTTCTTGACATCTCCTGTCATCCATCCTGAGACTTGCAAATACTCTGGTAGTGTGAGCAACAAAACGAACAGTCTGTAGATATAGCCACAAAAATGGTTGATTGTTAAATTTGCTTCAGATAAAGGAATGACGGAAGAGTCAGTTCTGAAGGGATAGGTGGTGTAACTTGTTCCGAATCTCGACGTGGGATGGCGGCCGAATCATCGCCGAACACGACTAATTGACCTCAGGAGAACACTGGAGGGCACGGAATCTGCCATCTGATCGCGAAAAAAGGACCCGACAGTTTGGAACAAACCATAAACCCCGACCACCCCATTTTCACATACTGTGCGGGGCTATCGTTGATCGTGCAAATCCCAGCCTGTTGCCTTTACAACTCCGTTTATTCGTGGCCCAGAACATTTTCCGCCCGGCAAACAACGATCGTCGACACATTCAGGGAGCACGCTCGTCAACTCGCGCCAGCAACCGTCTGTCAGCCATGCCTTTCGTCGTCTATACTCTCGATAGCGCCATCAGGAACTTTTTTGCAGAAGCAGGGGCGTCATCATCCAGGTCCCAATGTGACGAATTCGTCCGCCAAAGATATCCAGGAGGCCAGATCCAGCCCGCTCCCATTCAGGGATCGAACAGCTACACGGTGATTGTAGGGCGGGCCGCGGCCGGTGACAAAGTGGTCCAGTTCAGGGAACAAAGCGCCTTGCTGGACGTGACTATGCTGAAGCTGGCCAAAGAGATCCACGGAGATGTCGTGCCTGGCGGTTCTACTAGCCTTGGGTGGGTCGGCACTACTAACACAAGCCTGGGCCGTTCGCCGCTCGCGGTGTACGAGATGGATAAGCTCCCGGGAGAGACGTTTGTTATGGCCCGTATGTCCCTCGAAGCCCACCAGCGGTTGAATACCGTGCGTGACTTAGCTAGGTAGGTTTGTTTTTTTATGCCGTCCTGCAGTGCAGTGGCCCGTCACGGTCCCGGCCTTTCAACCGGGTCGAGTGACTAATACGAACACGACAGTTTCTTTGCGCAAGCGTGGCTGAAGGGTGCAGCAGCGGTTTCACATTTGGTCGATTTGCCCGCTATCAAAGAGGAGTGCCGCGCCAGATTCGAATACCTAGCCGAGACCCTCCCCGAGCGTTTTCTGCCGGTCGTCAGCGAAGTGCAGCGAGATTCGTTACTGCCAGCTCTCCTTGACGGTAATTACCCCTTGGTCCTCACTCACAGCGACCTCAACGAGATGAACATCCTGGTCAACCCCCATACCGGTGAACTCACGGGCGTTATCGACTGGGCTGACGCCAGTATCCAACCTTTTGGCTTTACGCTGTACGCGCTGGAGAATGCCCTCGGCAACATGAGCTCCGGGGGGTGGAAATGGTTTGACAACGCGGACGAGCTGAGGGACGCATTCTGGAGGGATTTTGTCGACAACACGGGCGTTTCGGAGTCTGAGACAAGACTCATCAAACTTGCGGCCAAGGCTGGTATCCTCATCCGGTATGGTACTGCGTACGATGCTGGCTTCCCGGGCATGATAGGAGTGCGGGATCCTAGTGCTGAGGATGACAGATACCTCGACGCACTCCTTTTTTAAGTTTTCTGTATCCGTGGGTATCTGCTAGGGTTGTGATGGAAGGAATGTTCCACGAATATGTCATGACTGTGATCATGGCAGGGATAAGAATTAGGGACGAGCGAGCTTCTGGCAGTAATTAGCTGAATTCAGCGAATAGTGAGATAGAGATGGAGGGAAAGAGAAAAAGCTAGATACAGGGTGAAGGATTCCGCGCATATCCTTTTGTAAACAAAGACTCTCAGTGAACAAAACAAACAAAACCAAGCAACTCTCTCTCCATCAATCAGTCAGTCCTTTAACCCCCGTTTGACCACCCTGTGATCCATCCCTGTTAGTCGAAGCAGTATACCACCAAAAAAGGGGGGACAAGACAGACGCAACATTCCAATCAAAAATTCAACAAAGAATTGATCTCATTTTTTCACTTGCCCACAGCCAGAATCGAACTAGCGACCTTATCATGACTTTTTTTTTTGAAGAAAGTACAAGTGACACGCTCTACCACTGAGCCATGCGGGCTGATGATGATGATGATTTAATTGTTCGGTTGTGTGATGTTAGTTTGTGGTTGAGGTTCTTAATGTTGTTGGGTGGGATATCATAGGATCCATGCAATTTTGAAATTGGAGATATATTTGTGTGGTGCTAGTTTTTCGGATATAAAATGAATTGTTGAGCTTTTTTGAGTTTTGTTGGAATACTGCGTCTGTTAAGTCTGTCGAGGTTTTCTACATGTAGTTATCAGGTGACAAATCTTGTCAAGTGCCAAGTGGTAAGTAATGTCGATGCTGTCCAACAAAAAGTAAGTCAGCTTTGATATTAAAGAAGTGAGTTCCAAGTCTTTTAAAACAATGTCGGATATTGTAATAAGTGTCAGTGATTTCAATTTTCATGTTCTCTTGTCTTTCAAATCGCTCATTTGGGCTTGCAACAATTAACAAGGAATTATAGTACGGAGAAGGTAATTTTTGTACATGTATAAATATATATATATGTGTGTATATAGTGTGAACTGTATTGGAAAGAAAAGACATCAACTATAAGAGTGAATCCAATCTAATATACCCTAACCACTGGCAAAAGTCAACCACCTTACCTTAGAGATAAGTCTTAGTAATACCAGACTCAACTCAAGACGAAATTCACAGAGTATTAACCCTCCACCCTTCGTACCAGTCATAGTTGCACTTATGATCGGGGGGACTATTTTGTTGGAGCACAGTATACCTGTGCTCCTCCTCGTGCGCCGGGTGATCTGGGTCCTCGCCGCACTTGCAGTCTTTATCGAACAGCTGCACGCACTGGCGGATTACCTTGTGCATGTGGCAATCCGCGTAAAGGATTAGGTGGTAGTGGGGGATTTTCTGCTCAGAAGTTTGGGCTGGGGTTTGGGTTTGGGGTACTGAAGATGCCATTGTGATGGTTTGCTAGGTTGATGAAGTTAATGAATAGGAGGTATTGTGGGCGGTTTTATAGACATGATTCCTTGGGTTGGGATTTTTTGGAAGTAGGAATGTGTGCTTTAACATGATTACTTTTTATATTGTGGTATACACATCATTATCTTTGAGTCAGAGCCATTTGTGTGGAAGTGGTTGTGCTGTGTAAAGTCCGTAGGTACGAAATAGAATGGTTGTGTATGTGTATCTGGTTGCCAAAACAACTTGTGTTAAACTATGGTTCTTTGTTTCATGGGAGGAACAAAGGGATTGTGATTTTCTTTCAATGCCATTGCTGGGACGTTCTGCCTTTGTTCTTGCGTACCTAGCTACTATCTGAAACCAGTCTTGGCAATTGATCAGCTTTCTGGGGAAGGAAACTCTTTCAGAAGTTAGGCTCCTTAATCCAGTGCCGCAATTTTGTCAGAGCAAACATGTCATTTTCCTTCTTCGAGGTGGTGTAATTCACTCCATCTGTAGACAGATCCAAACATAACCCACAAGTTACAAGACTGAAACCTTCCTCTCTTCGCGCCATCATGTCCAGCCCAATATAAGATTAGATGTCTCAATAAACAAATGTAAAAGGTCTTCTTCCTGGTAGTCATAGGATATAGGGTGCGCCCAAGACAAAGTTGAAGAAGAAGGGTTCTGCCAAGACATGTGGATAGAGTCAAATAAGTGTGGAGCAAAACATACAGCAACATGGATTCCCCAGTGGTGAACCACCTGAATGAATTAGTCGGGCCTTTCTGATGTTATCTTTTGGAACAAACGAGTGATGAATTCGGTATGTCTTGGGATCAAGAAACGGCTCCCTTTTACCATCTGTTAATGATGCAGAAAACGGCAGACGGTGCCAACTGTGTCGCAGCGGTTGGCCGCCTGCCCGCAGTATAACAAGAAATCCGTTCACACAGAAGGAATCAAGGTGGATTACGAGGGGTTCAGAACACCGATTATGACTACTTTTGGGACGTCGACCGGAATATTCGGCCGTAGTGGCATCAACGGTTGCCATTGGCTGTTGGTCGGGACACACCAGATGCTCCAGCTCTGGACTAAAAACCTTGGCACTTCGCGACGGTGATGGACATAAGGGAGATCTGCACCAGAATTAAGAGTAGAGAAGGTCTGGGAAGGCTGATATGCATCGTATTTAGAAACTTTCCCACTGCTATTTAATCGATAACCTCGTTCCCCACTCATCCCGCTTACGCACACTGCCGCCCGCCATACACGCCCCCTTACAAAATATGCTCCCACGATCAACGTCTTTCTCTTAGTAGAAGCATCTTCAGGATGTACCATCTTATCCATGATGCTTGCTTCGATGAGCCTTGAGCTTGTCGCAACGATAGGTTTTGTAGTTGCAGTGCTCATGTTCACAGGAGTAGGTCAAAGGAAGATGCTTCCGCATATGGCGTGCTCGGTCGGTCAGACGACTAAATGTTACAGAACAACCTTGATATTCGCAGACAAAGCGGTCGGGAGTAGAGCGGGAAGCACTGCCTGCGGGGACAGAACCTGGGCCGAAGCTGAGCCCGCCCGGAACGGAATCGGAGATGCCGAGCCCGAAACTGGGGGTAAGGCCGAAGGTGTTAGCGTTGAAGCCGGCGGCACTGCGCTCGAAACCGGAGGTAAGGTTGAACGCGTTGAGATCGGAGCCAAAGGCGCCGGGCCCGAGACCGTAGGCGGGGTTGAAAGCGTTGAGGTCGGAGCCAGAGGCGCCGGGCCCGAGACCGGAGGTAAGGTTGAATGCGTTAGGGTCGGAGTTAGAGGTACCGAGCCCGAAACTGGAGGTGAGGTCGAATGTGTTGGCGTTGAAGCCGGCGGCACTGCGCTCGAAACCGGAGGTAAGGTTGAACGCGTTGAGATCGGAGCTAAAGGCGCCGGGCCCGAAACCGTAGGCGGGGTTGAAAGCGTTAGGGTCGGAGCCAGAGGTGCCAGAGGTACCAAACTCGAAGCCAGGGGCATTGGAGACGTTTAAGCTGAAGGCGCCGAGCCCGAGACCGGAGGCGAGGTTAAAGGCGTTAGGGTCGGGGCCAGAGGTGCCAGAGGTACCTAAGTTGAAGCCAAGGGCGAGGGCGTCAGGGCCACCTGTCGTGAAACCAAGAGTGTTAGGTTCGGCGAATGGGTGGGTGCCAGAGGTGCCAGAGGTGCCTGAGTTGAAGCCGAGGGCGAGGGTGAGGGCGAGGGCGTCTGCCGTGCAACCAGGGGCGCCTGTCGTGGAACCAAGGGCGTTAGGTTCGGCAAATGGGAGGGCCAACTCGAGGGAGTCAGGGGCGTCGGGCGCGCCGGGTACGACCAATAGGAAGTTGAGGGTCCCGCCTGTAGACGTTTGCAAACTACTGAAAGAGAGGCATACTCGCGTCAGCGGAAAAAAAAAAAGTTACCCAACGCCGTTGATTGGCGGTTTGTCTTCACCCGACGTGGTAGAGGGGGCGTTGTCCACGTAATCCGACATGGTGGAAAAAATGTGAGAGGGTTTGGAAGTGATCAGTGATTCGTTCTCTGGGTTGCGCGAAGTCGTTTGGGATACTGGATTCTTGAATTTCCCCAACGAGGGGGAACAGCTTCCTAAATATCATTTCTCACCAATTTACATGCCAGCACTGTTGGAAGAAGCAGGGGTAGGAAAGCTTGGGAGGCGCAGAGTAACCCACTCTACTTCAGCCTACTGGTACGCATCTTTGTGGTGAACATCGGCTTCTGGAGAACTTCGGCACGTTTATACCACCCGACAGAACTGCACACTCGGACAAGTCTCGCTGTCACGTCTTCTTAGCGGTGTTTACCTTGTATCAAACGCGATGATGGACCTCGACGTATCCCCTAACATATTCAACCTCAACCAAACGGCAGCCGTCTGTCGCCCTTTTGCATGCGACGACTGTGACAAAACGTTCATAACACGCGGCCAACTAAAGTATATACCCCGTGTTTATCCCTTCACTCGATTAATCCTGAATGCTAACTGTGAACCATCAGCCGTCATTCGAAAACCCATTCTCGGCCTTATCGTTGTGACAGATGCCCCAAGGGATTCGGACTGAGAGCCGACCTCAATAGGCACAAGACGACGCACGAAAGCGTCAGTGCGAAGCTTTTCTGCCCTTTCGCCAAATGCAAGTTCAAGGGTACCCCACGAGCAGACAACCTGCGCAGGCACATGCTCAACATTCACAAGAGAACATACAACATACAAGAAGGGCTGGAGGACCGAGCCAACCTGCTTGTTCAAGAGTCAATGCTAGCCCGGGAACAGTCACTGGCGGATGCATGCCTGCTTATTACAGTACAAAACGGGAGCCAACCGGCACTAAGATGGTTCCTTAATAATGGAGCCGATATTGGAAAGAGGTCCGAAGATGGAAAGACAGCGCTGCATATCGCGGCAATAGAAGGCAGAGCTGAATTCGTGGGACTGCTGCTCGACGAGGGATCCGACATTGGAGCAAAGGACAGCCGTGAAAACTCAGTACTACATGATGCTGCACTATCAGGGGATGGGCCGGTTGTGGAAATGATCATATTAAGAGGCGGTTGCGTCGCCAGCAAAAACAAGGACGGCCATATCCCGCTACATCTTTCGGCCATGAAAGGTCATTCGGTGGCAGCAGGAATACTACTACGGGAAGGATCCGACGTCAATTCGAAATCCTGCAACGGAAAAACAGCGCTGTATTATGCAGCCTCGGCGGAACACGAGGAGCTGGTACAGTTGTTGTTAGAGAAGGGAGCGGACGTTGGTTTGAAGGCTTCTTATCAACATGTGGTAATTGATTTCGCAGCCAAAACCGGGAACGAGACGATCATGCGGTTATTGTTCAAGGAGACAGCAAAGGTCAGCTTGAGTCGTAAAATTCCAAGGCTGGTTCGAGTGGCAGCGGGAAGAGGCCACGAGGCGATAGTACGGCTACTTCTAAAATATGGCTCGGGTATCTACGGAAGAAGCGGATACGGCGCGCTCTGGGAGTCAGCATCGAAAGGTCACGAGGCCATCGTCAGGTTACTGCTGGAGAATGGAGCGAACGTCGGCGAAACAGATGGACAAGGCAGAAACGCACTCGAGGGAGC